GCAAGAGCGTACATGTTATAGGCTTATTTAATTGAGAAATTATAAGAGGGAGAGAGGGGTGTGGCAACAAAGAGAGAGAAACTTTGGTGAATTCTGAGATGTGCGTTATTTCACCTTGCCTTTATGTAGGGAAGGTAAATCCCTTTCCCTTTAGGTATTACAACTGAACTAGGACACTATCTAAAAGAAATCATAGAAATCTCATTACGATTTCCACAATCACATTCCTAACCTAATTCGGATGACAACAGTCGTCTAGTTGTTGTGATTTGTGCATAAAAATAAGGCATAAATGTTTAAAAGGTCTCTGTGTTTTAGTCATTGGATCAATTTAGTCCCTGTGTTTTCAATTTGGCTAATTTGGTCTTTATGTTTATCTTCGTTAGCCAATTAAGAACATTTCCATCTAATTTATGAAAAAAATTTATAAATTATTATAAACTTATTTGATTTAAAATATCTAAAAATGAAATGAAATAATTTGCTTTAGGTCATCAAAATTTTCAAAATTAAGGTTGAGTTAATTAACATTTTGTGCTTTGAATGACATATCAATAAATATAATTATTATTTCCATTCAAAAAAAAAAAAGATAATTATTAGGAAGGGGTATTGACATTAGTTGAAAAGATTCTTTTGCATTGATCTTAATTAAAGAAAATAATAGGTTCAATTAACCTGTGCTAGAGAAATGAAGCTTAACTTGTCCCGAAATAAGAAATTTGTTGATGTACAGAAGTTTTTTTTTTTGGGTCAAACGAGATTTTTAGATGATAGATTAGCTATCAACGGAATTTGAACCCACGTCGTCATACAATGGCTCAACACCTTTAAATGGCTACTTGCATTGATGTACACAAGTTGGTTCAACTTACATTGTGATGAAGTTAACCTTTGCAAGGATGGAAAACCGTAGCTTGCCACCAATTGTCTTTTTTTTTTTCTTTTATAAAATAAAAAATAAAGGGTAGAGAGATTAGGTGGCCTGCAAGAAGAACTGAGTAAGTATCGAAGGGCATTGGTGTGGGACCAACCGAAGAGTTTGTGGTGCTTAAGACCATCTCCTTTGGAGATGGTCAAATTAAATACGTTTTTGCTAATTTTTAATTCATTATTAAATACGTTTTGCTAATTTTTATTGTTTTAAAACATTTATTGTAATTAATTAGTGATTGGTGCTACCCTTCCATCTTAAAATTACAAGTAAACAACTCGCAGAAAAACACAGACCATGGCTGCTGCCATGACCACGACGTCGAGCCCAGCCTCCGTCGACCTAAGTCTGGCAGTTCTTCCTCCCTGCTCGCCGGCGTTGAACTTCTTCCCAACCATGACCACCATGTGGGTTCCGTAGGCTCGACATCTCTGTCTTCGACACCACTGTAAATACGCCTCACCCCACTTCTTCCTTTTTTTTGCTCCAACAACCACCACTGTAACATCCAATAATCCACTTTTCAAACAATAGCAGTGCAACATTGCAAACCCACAACCCAAGGCTCTTAATTTCCAACAAATTATAATAATCTGTTACTTTTATTCATTTCTAAGAAAAAAGCTGAAGCTTTGAACTAAGAAAAATGGGGATTTGAGATTTCTTCTCTGGGACAACCATTTTGTTGAAACGATATCTATCTAGACCCGCCCATGGAGCCCAGAATTAACAACAGACTCTCGATGGCCACAAATTCTTTTAGATCCGAGCTTCCAGTGCCATCTCTTCCTGAATCAGGCATCGCGGCGGGACATCCAATCCCTACCTACCCCTTCCACCTGATGTTAACCTTCCCCTTCCCTCTGTTCCCTTCGATCTCGACGAGCTCCGCCGCTAAATGGCTATGCAACTGATTGCACCGTAGTGACATCGCTGGAGCCGACGGTGGCGAGGCTTCTGAGGACGAGGGGGGCGGCGTGCAAGGCTCTAATCGGACCGCGGTGGTGCTAAGGGGTTTAGAATCGAGAAAAATGCGAATTACTAGCCGTTGAAGAGTGAGGGTAACAATGGTGTCACGTCGCCGAAGCTGGTGAGAGGGGCCGGAGACGTCAGCGGACACGATCAACTCCCCGTTGGGTGAAAACCTGACGACGATGACGGGTAACGACGACGTCAAAAGGGGAGAGATGGTGGTGTTGGAGGAACGATGACAGGACAACTGGAACAAATTTGGGTGGGGTCCACTTTATTTTAATTTTGTTTTGTTTTTAAATTATATAATAACAATTATGAAAAGAAAATAGTGTAATAAAATAATAGTTTAATTTAACATATTGAGCGAAGAACAAAATTTTTAAAAATGTCAAAATGCCACATAGGCTGTCAAATTCAAATTTTATGTTTAAAATTTGATATCTCTGTTGGAGATGGTCTGAAGGTGCTGTCAAATTTGACAGCAAGGGTGAGAGCTGTCATTCCATGTCATGCCACATCAGATTTAGCTTCTTAGTTGGAAACCATTGTTGCTACCTTTTATGACTGTTAATGCTGATTTGAACAATTTAACATCTCCAAAGGATAGGGGTGGGCATAAAAACCGCCAAACCGCAAAACCGCATCGAATCGTAAGAAAAAAAATCGAAAAAAACCGTGTTGACCGGAAAAGTCAACTTTGAGTGAAAAACCGAACCGAACCGTTCAAACTGGTTCTGGTTCCGGTTTCGAATGACCAAGAACCGGTCGAACCGAACCGAACCGTTTTATTAATAATAAATAAATAAATTATATATACACACACATGTCATGGTATAATAGGTTGAAAAATTGTGTACAGGAATTGCTGCTTCCTGCTTGCTCTCTGAAGTCTGAAAACCTGCAATTTGCTTCATCATTTTTTTGTTTGTTGACTGATTGACCAGTGCATATGTATTTTAGTTGTCTCTTTTTGTTGACTTGGTGCCACTACCAAAGACATTTGCATTAAAAAAGATGTGTTGTATGCAACTTTATGTAATCAGTTTTAGAAGATGTATTTGAATGCATAATGATTTGGTGTTCAAATAATTTATTATTAGGAACCGTAAACCGGCAAGAACCGAATCGGAACCGGCAAGAACCGAATCGGAACCGGTGTAGACCGAACCGTATTGTTCTAGTAATAAATTTAAGTGGAACCGCACCGAACCGAACCGTTAATATATTTCGGTTCCGGTTCCAGTTTAGGGGTGGAACAGCACCGTGCCCACCCCTACAAAGGAGATGCTCTAAGTTAGCAAATTGTGTTTGGGGTGCCACGTTGACGTGTTTTGTGATAATTAACCATTATCTTGAAAAGAGTGGAGGTTATCCTTTTATAGAGATGAAGTTGGAGGAACTTTGTTGTGTTGGCTAATGGATATTAATATGTTTAATATGGTGTTTCCATTTGTCGCGCGTCGTGATTAATCTCCAAGTTGGAGAAAAACTCCCTTTGATTACGAGGATAGCCAATAAGTGGTTGCCACATGTTGTGGCCCCCATATTTTTTCTATAGGTTTATGATACATTCCCTTACAAACAAAATTACTTGTTGGTCTAAACTAAATTTCTTATATAATAATAAAAAGGGATAATTTGATATATATCCAATTTTTTGAGAGATTAGTAGAATTAGTCCACTTCATTGAAATAGGTCCAATAATTGAGATTCCATGTATGTTTATTTGTGGTTTGTACCATATTTACCCCTTAGGCTTACGAATTGTAGTAAATACACAAAATTTCTTAATTATGAGATAATTTGTGGTTTAACTAATCCCTTAATTGTAGGATTAGTTATAGCCATATAATCGCCTCAACCCCCAGTCTGTTTCATCCCTCATTTTTTCCTTCTTCCAAACAATTCCCTCTATCAATCCTCCTCTTTTTTGTCTCTTCTTTTCATGGGTGATATTTTTGTGTTATTCCCTCCAAATTCGTTCCTTTAATGGAGGTATATTATATCATATTTATATTTTTATGTTCCGCCATGTAGGTTCCCAGCATTTTTCTTCCAATACAATAGGTAGTTTATTTTTGTTTTGCGGGTAGATTATATCTGCTTTGTAGGTATAAAACATTTTCTTCCTATACAATAGGTAGGTAGTTACTAGATTATATCGGTCTTGTTTTCTTCATAAATAGTAGGTAGTTACTAGATAATATTTTAGTTTGAGTATTTAAATATTCAAAATTTAAAAACTGAATAAATGATAAAAAATTAAAGAATTTAAATATTTTTATCTGAAGGGGCAAAATTGATATCAAAATATGTAATTGGATAACTGGACTCGGTCCCAAAAACTATCTAAGTTTTTGGACCTAGATCCAAAAGCCCCTAAAAAAAATGCTATGAATACCACATTTTCAAACTATAATTAACATATACATATAATATAAGAAATGATATGTATATGTTATGTTAATTAATGAGTTTAGAATCTAAAAGAGCAGGCAACACAAAAGTATCAGTAAATATAATTAGCTCATATATAAAATGGTAACATAAATTTAAGTGTTTGAATAATTATCTAGTAATTTACGTACGTACCACTTCAGGGGAAGAAGAAGAATTCTTCCATCCATGTCATGGGAGTTGAGTTGTTCCGCGCGGATGGAAGCGATCGAACTCAAAGGAAGGAATGAAGGGGTCAATGGTCTCATTCACATTTTCTCATTCTCCGTAACCAGTCAAGTCTGGCCAACACCAATTTTTTTTTTTTTTTTTTTTTAATTTTTGTATGAGTAAATCGATATTTTTACATTAAGAGAATGTGAAGTTCGGGTAAGCCACATAATGAGCAGTCTAACTTGATATCGATTTCCCCATCAACGAGATTTGAATTTAAAATTTCTTACTTTTAAAAAAATACCACCAGACCGTAGTATTGAATAACTGAGTGACTGACTAACACCAAATTAAAACAAAATAAATACACATTCTAAAATTCTAAATACAAAACAAAATATCTGCTTACCCATTTAATCCTAAAATAATATTGCAAAAGACTTCACCCTCCCCGGGCCCTCCTCTGCTTCCCTCTTTCGCGGTGTCCTACTTATCCTGCGCATCCTCCTCCCGCTTATCCTGCGCTGCGCTTCCTCCGCCGGATTTGGTGCTCTCAGATCTCTCTCTACACACAGCCACCCACCCCAACAGACAAGACTAGTCCCTTCCCTTGTAATTAGTTTACAACAAAGAGCAAGCAGCACCGACTTGTCCTTTTCCCCTAATTTTTCTTTCTTTCAGGTACCATCTCTCTGTGTTTCGCTCTCTCTTTTTCCCTGTCACTACTCTAATTCTCAGCTGCTGATACCGATCTATGCATTTTTCACCTTTTTTATATTAATTCTTTTTCTAAACAAACAAAATTCGAATTTTGTTTTTGTTTTTGGTGGCGATTTGCTTGATCTCCGTGTTCAGTGGCTGAACTGAATTTGATTACTGGTTACATAATACGTACTGAAACTTGTATATTCATATTTTATCTGGGCTTAAATTTCAATCTCATTTATTCAATTTAAATCTTAAAGGTGTTTTATTTTATAATTTTAATTTTGTTTTTGCTTTTGTTTTTGTGTGGGTAAAGAATCATGAGCTGCTTTGGCTGTTGCGAAGACGATGATTTGCATAAAGCGACCGACCATGGAGGTCAATACATGATGAAAAATCCAGCAGGTATTAATCCAATCCACTCTCTTATATCTGCGGCTTTGTGTCTGTCTATTTTCGGAAAGTTTGTATCTTTTACTTCATTTCTTCTTGTATCTTTTGTTCCGTCGCCAATTTTATCAATTTTCGACCGAGTTGAATTTCATCTCCACAGGAAATGAGGGAAGCCATCATGCCTCAGGAACTGCACCCAGAGGTGCTCAACCCGTGAGGGTCCAGCCTATCGAAGTTCCTACCATACCATTTGACGAACTAAAGGAGATTACTGAAGGCTTTGGGACCAGTGCTTTGATCGGAGAGGGTTCATATGGAAGAGTATACTATGGGGTTCTTAAAAGTGGGCAGCATGCAGCGATCAAGAAGTTGGATGCCAGTAAACAACCTGATGAGGAATTTCTAGCCCAGGTTTAGACAAGAGAACCCGTTATTTATTTTTGTTTTTGAAACAAGTTTAAATTCATTTCGAAATTGACGAATGACGGATTCAGGTTTCTATGGTATCAAGGCTGAAACATGACCACTTTGTTCAACTGCTTGGTTACTGCGTTGATGGGGTTTCACGTGTTCTTGCCTACGAGTTTGCATCTAATGGATCTCTTCATGACATTCTACACGGTATGTAAGAGTAAGATAAAAGTGAAGCCTTAAAGATGGGATTGAGTTTAATGATTCTAATCTGGCTGCGCAATCTTGGTCGATGCATTGTTTGTGCAAGGAAATCAACTATTTTGCTTTTTATTGTTTAATCTTATTTCTCGCAAAAGCAGTTTCTTTCATTGAGTGAGACTAGACTACTTGAGAGCTGTTGTCTTAGCTGTTTCTCGAAACTACAGTATTTGACCTGATAATTTTGCTAATACAGGAAGGAAAGGTGTTAAAGGGGCGCAACCTGGTCCAGTTTTGTCGTGGGCGCAACGTGTTAAAATTGCGGTGGGTGCTGCAAAAGGGCTTGAATATTTGCACGAAAAGGCTGATCCCCACATTATTCATCGCGACATCAAGTCTAGCAATGTACTCATATTTGATGATGATGTTGCTAAGATTGCAGACTTTGATTTGTCCAACCAAGCTCCAGATAATGCAGCACGTCTTCACTCCACTCGTGTGCTAGGAACTTTTGGCTATCATGCCCCTGAGTAAGCTTTTAATAGGTCCTTCAAAGAACGCATTTAGCGACAATGTAGCGCATTTTCTATTCTAAGATAAAAATCAAACAGCCCCCTTCTTGATTGCTGAGAATCCTTTACATTACCTACTTAAGTGTTAAAGGCGAGGCAATAACGTACCTAATTTACTAATAGTGCTCCCTAAAAGTTTGGTATTAGGGTGCATGCAATGATCCCCAATATTCATTAATTTTATTTGTGGTTTGCAGATATGCAATGACTGGACAGTTGAACGCCAAGAGTGATGTTTACAGTTTTGGTGTTGTCCTGCTTGAGCTTTTGACTGGACGAAAACCAGTTGATCATACGTTACCACGGGGACAGCAGAGTCTAGTAACATGGGTACTATACCTGTGCTCTGTCCACGTAGCACGTGCCATCTGTTTTTGAAATTATAGACATAAGAATATGTTCTTGTTCTTATATTGTAAATTTTTTTTAGTCAACCAAACTGATTTTTGAAGTATTTGGGTTGTCTTAGGCTACACCAAAGCTTAGTGAAGACAAAGTTAGGCAGTGTATTGATTCAAGACTAGGAGGAGAGTACCCACCAAAGGCAGTTGCAAAGGTAATCACTGTATCATTCCATGCATATATGCACACAAGCATACACCCATAAATATGCAATTCTGGTAATTTCTTGTTTCTGTTGGCACGACGGTGGTGTTGCTGAACATGCATCTATTCCGTTTTCCCCCATACATTTGCATGTGGACAGTGCTTTTACTTACCAAACATCTAAAACTTAATGCTATATTCTTTCTTGAATCTTGATTATAGATGGCTGCTGTTGCTGCCTTGTGCGTGCAATATGAGGCTGATTTCCGCCCGAACATGAGCATTGTTGTTAAAGCCCTCCAACCCCTGTTAAATGCTCGTCATGGACCTGCCGGTGAATCACCAAACTTGTGAATCTCTCAATCTCCCTCTCTGTCTCTCTCCCATTGCCTCTGAAGGTGTGTCGTGTGTGCATGTATGAGTAATTCAGCATGCAATTATTGTAACAAAGGGGATAGAGTTCTGAGGGTGGTCTGGTGGTATATTGTTTGCACAATGTTCTATATGCTTCTTTTTCTTCATCTTTTTTTCCTCTTTTCGACAGAGATGTACTATATTGCTTCATTATTTGCGGTGTATTTGATTTGTTCATAATGCAAGGTGGTATTTCATGTTTTTAAGGGCATCTCCAATATATGCGATAAAATAACCAAAACTTTATTTTAAAGAGCCAAATCTATAAAAACAAACATACAACAGATTCTACAAAAGAGTTTATGTTATAGCAAAATGAACAGTCATCTTTTAAATTTAAAGAGCAATGATTCATCAACTAATATTAAAAAAATTAATAAAATTTAGGGTGGACGTTTGAGGAAGATGAAAAGGAAGAGAGAATGTTGACTTGAAAAATGTGTAGGTTGAGTTTGAATTGTTAAAAATATGCTGTTCAAAGATTGTTAAAATTGAGAGTGCTATTGGACATGAAAATTTATATTGAGTAGCTAAAATAATATTTTAACATTGTTTACCTTTTAATTAACGTTAATTTTTGTGCTAATATTATAAACAGGCGGTAGAGATTTATAGAGTTCTAGATTTGATGGTCTCCTTAACAGAAGAATGTTAGTACACGGGTACTCAGTTAGGTGAGGCCATTTGGTCAATGGCAATAATTCAAAGCTTGATTTATTAGTCAAACTGACTAGTATGAATCAGCATTAGCGTTGAAAAAAATAAGTCTTAAAAAATATATTAAAAAAAAGGAAAATAAATGTGTTGTTTTTTTTTTGGTTAGTTGTTGGTGTGAAACCAATGGCTAAGGCCAAGAGTTGGTAGGTGAATTGCACATCAAAATCTAGTCACTTGTAGACAACTACATTTCCACCGTAATTTTTGACAATTGAATTATGATGATTGTGGCCTCATCAATCTAAGGAATAAGTTTAATTTCACAATACGTTAACAATAATGTAGTTAAAGTTTGTCTTTGATAAAAATCGAATCTAAGATCCCTTACTTACAAATGAAGAGAAATATCACTAGATCGTAGTACCAAGTAACGGTTTAGTATGATTTTAACCAAAGAAAAAAAAAACAAAAATCAAATGCTTCAAAATCAAACCCAAGCCGTTGGTTTTGGTTATGAGCTTTTGTAAACTGCCCCAAATAAAATTATACCGACCATTTTACATCTTTGTTTTTATATTATTTTATTTTTATATGTTTAAACTCTTAGGCGTTGTTTGTTAGAAAGATTAGTTTGGATATGACTACTCACTATATTAAAGACATTTTGAAGGAAGAAATAAATGATAGCTTTTCTATTTTGTCTAAGTTGAAGGTGGTTTTTTTATTTTTACTTAGATATGACATGAGGTGAGGTTTTAAAAGAACAACAAAATGTGGTTTGTGCCAAATTACATTATTACTCATGATTTTATTTTTTGATAAAAAATTAAATTGTCTTTTCACCTCTTTTTAGTTGATCAAAAAGATTTTATGCATTTGTAGTTTAAATTAAATGTAAAAACCTATTTCAGTAATTGAACTTTTATAATAATAACTTGAAAAAAATAAACTTATGTCAAGTTTTGTCCAAGTTAATATCATCACTACAATCCGAAAAGAAAATATAAGCGTTAAAAGACAAAAGTATCCCTCCTCGACTCGCATACCGTAATACCGTTAGGCCTGCTTGCATAAAGCAGAGGTAAATTAGGAAAATTAATAAAGAAAATTAATGAAAATAATTTGAAAACTTTGAGTTTTAATTAAAATGATAAAAAGTGTTGTAAGTGAACAGTAGCATGAATGATTTTTTAAAATAAAAATATCATTTTTCGTTAAAATAAATAGTACAGAAAGTGTTTCGTTAAAACTTTCAAATGAACAACATGTGCCCCACGAAGGTGGTGAAAGAAAATTTTCATTATGATAGGAGCATTGGTGGTACATCATGTGTTTTTATATAAATGGTGAAAATTGTATTTTTAAGTTATTAATATTTTAACATACATATTATTCTGTTAATATAATAACACGTAATATACCATATTTGTTCCCGTGACATTCAAAATCCTCTCGGGGGAGGCGAAGGATATTATTTGAGTAAGCGAGTGAAAGAGAATAAAAATAAAGGCAAAAGAAAAGAAAAGAATAAAGAAAGACGGAGGAACGGCTGGAGTCCAAACACTCCAACCCAGAAGTCTATCAATCAACAAAATTTACAAGGCAGGCGCCAGACAGATCAATCTGCAATTCCTAGAAAGGAATCACCCATACAACAAGAAAAAGAAGAAGAAGAAGGAGGAGGAGAAGTAGGAGGAGTAGCGAATCAATCAGTCGGATTTCGATTCTAATTTGGTGTGTTGATGTTTTGAAGAACCGATCGTCTTCGTTCGTCAGTAATCGTTAGATCTCAAGCTTCTAGAGGTCGACAATGCGTGGGGATGTGAACGGAAGCACCACTGGGGCGGGGGCGTCCTCCATGGGTATGGCGGAGGCGCAGTACGTGAACGCCAAAACGTCGGTGTGGTGGGACATAGAGAACTGCCAGGTCCCTAAAGTCTGCGATGTCCACGCCATCGCCCAGAACATCAGTTCCGCCCTCGTGAAGATGAATTATTGTGGGCCCGTCTCCATCTCCGCCTACGGCGACACCAACGGCATCCCTGCTTCTGTTCAGCACGCCCTCTCCAGCACCGGCATCGCCCTCAACCACGTCCCTGCCGGTACTTTCTTTTTTAATTTTATAAATAATTAAATTGAAGACCTCGCCTACAAGATCGTGGCCAACCGTTTCTGGTTGTTGTTTTGCTTGGCCTGCTGCTGTTTTTTAATTTTTCCGATTCGATAATATCAAAATTTTCTTTTCTTTTCTTTTCTTTGGTTTATTTTTTGAATTTTTTTTTATTTGATTAGTGAAATTGTGTGTGAAGTGTAATTTGATGGTAGTATTAGTATAGTGACCTATTGGTTTGCTTTGTCAATGATTTTAATTAATCTTGTCAGTCCTTAATTCATAAAGAATACCCACTTTTAACCTCCCACGCACCCTTGTTAATTTTCTGCCATTGATCTTCTTCAATTCATTCAAGTTGACAGCCGATATTTGATGGAGGTGTGTGAAAAGTAAAAATGGGTGTGTGGATAGCACTACCCATTCATAAATTGCTTCAGTTTAGCAATGAATTGTTTTGTTTATACCGTAAGTGCTCGAATTTATGTCACAACTATGTTTTTCATAGCAAATTGATCATTTCTCTTCTCGTATTCATTCTTGGTAATATGCTGTGATTATTGAATGTTTTGTTCTTATAATTGGTATTTTTCTATGGTATTTATCTTCAAAATATTTATTTTAGTTAAATTGTCATCAGCGTTATCATCTTCGTTGACCGCTCATTGTCTGAAACAGGTGTGAAAGATGCAAGTGATAAGAAGATTCTAGTCGATATGTTGTTCTGGGCAGTGGATAACTCTGCACCAGCAAACTACCTGCTTATTTCTGGAGACAGGGATTTCTCCAATGCTCTACACCAGTTGCGCATGAGAAGATACAACATTCTTCTGGCACAACCACAAAAAGCTTCCGCACCCCTCGTCGCTGCAGCAAAGAGTGTATGGCTTTGGACGAGCCTCTCAGCTGGAGGGCCCCCACTTTCAAGCGGGGAATCATCTCAGCTTGCAAATGGTAACAATTCTTATAACCCTGAAATGTCACAGCATTCAATGCCTGAAACGTTCAATATAAACCCGCCTCCAGTTTATTATGAACATCCTTTGGGAAATCAAAAGCCTTCCACCAGCGGAAGGGTTGGTGATACTAAAAACAAGGGGAAAAACAATCGGAAAAGCCCAAATCAACCCAACATATCAAGAGTCTCAAGTATGCCAGTTGGGAACCAAGATGACAAGAATACTGATTACTCTTACCAGTCAGAACATACACATGCAAAGCAGTTCAAGAAAGCTCCACACGAATTCTTTGGTTCTGGTGACACTCCAGTCTCCAATGGTAGGTCCCCTCCCAATTTCTTCCATGGAAATTCTGATCCTTCAGGCAGTGATGGAAATAGTTTCCTAGGTCAACCAAACCAGTATCCTCCTCCTCAGAGGCTGAACAACTTCCACATGCAACCGAATTTTGGACCAGATAGTATGCTCCCTCCTAATTCCCATAGTTATGGTTTACGACCTATTCCTCCCAGACCTGGTGGCCCTAGATTTACTTCAGCCCCACCTACAAATGTGCCTGATATGAGTAAGCTAAATATCTCTGAGTACAACAATTATGCTCAAAATCCACAAAGGTTCCCTCATCGAAATGGGGAAGAGTCTAGTAGACCAAGGTCTAGCGATTCACTGAATTCAGCTAGCTTAAATGTGCCTTATAAAGGCCATAATATGCAGAGTGGCCAGGCGTTTCATCATGATTCTATGAACAACAGGTATCCTCGTGGTTCCGAGTACCGGCCTCCTCAATCCTCCCCTGCTGCTGGAAACAACATACCTAGCAATGGTACTTGGGGAGCTCAAGGCTGCACACCACCATCTGAATATGTTCAAGGCCTTATTGGTGTTATTTTACTAGCTTTGAACACCCTGAAAGTTGAAAAAATTATGCCGACTGAAGCAAACATTACCGATTGCATTCGTTATGGTGATCTGAAACACCGCAATACCGATGTAAGGAAGGCCTTGGATTACGCAATAGAGCAACATATGGTGGTCAAGCAGAGCCTGGGTGCACTTCAGTTGTATGTTGGTAAGAATGAGAAATTATGGAAGTGTGTGAACCCTATAGGGGGTAATCTTAATCAGTACACTAAAGCAACATGGGAACGAATACAGAATTTTCTGAGTTCCTCATATGGACGATCGGCAATAATGGCCTCTCAATGCAGGTAAATGTTTATGGTGTATTATTCAGCTACTTTTGTTTCCTGGAGTGTTGAGTTTTGACAATGAGCTTTGATCATCTTTTTTCCTCTACAGATATGAAGCAGCTATTATTTTGAGGAAAGCATGCTCTGAAGAGCTTGCTTTGGGCAATGTACTTCAGATCTTGAATATGATAGTCAGCATGAAGAAATGGATCATTCATCATCAATCTGGATGGCAACCGATTACTTTTACCCTTGAAGAGACTAACGCTGAAACAGCTGCCGAAACTGGTACTTGATTTAGTCAACAACACTATAAATGCAGAGAGTGGCTTTATAATGGCTACATCTGCAAAATATTATCAGTTTATCGGACTTGATCAACTGGGTTTACTTTTGAAACAAAATACTGTTACTAGAAAACTAAGGGGGATGGAAACTTTTACATGTGATCCAAGTAGGATTAGATGTCCTTCCCCCTCCCCCCCCCCCCCCCCCCCCAAAACACAAAACCACTCCCCTCTCCTCCCCACCTCGCCGACTCCCTTTTTTTATTTGTTTTTCTTTTTCTTATGTCCTCTCTGGCTCTGGGGTGCTTGAGTAGCTTCTAAGGAATAGGTAAAAATGCTGCTAACGCAAGACCTATTATGCTATCAAAGTTCTTGCAAGCTGCCTTTTTTAGAAGTTGATTGTACCTGCATTATGAGGCTTTTTGTCCATTACAAATCAATGGATCGTTCTGCCCCAAGTGACGAAGTATGTCAGGAACAGCATCTGGAAGTGGTAATATCATGTTTCAGCATATGTTTGCATATGGAAGATTATATAGCTGTGGGCAAGTTTCAGCATGTTTTACACGGATCAGGGATTACATGATTATGTTGTTCTGGACATTATTATTCAACTGTCCTTGCGGATGAGCTCCATTGAAGACTATTTCATTATCAGGTTGTAAGACCATTGGATGTGGTTCTATGTTGGTTCAATGTAGGGCTTGGTATTTTACTTAGTTGATGCAAAGAACGTTGGCAGAGGAAAAAGATTGAAGCAACTTCCGACATTGGAACAGCAATTGGAAGTATGCACAGAAGGATGCCAAGGTAAGCCATACTGTACCTGCAATTGCATGCACGTAGGAGGGATGTGATTTCTGGAACCTGGTATGGCTATAATAGTATATGCTTGGATGTTGCAGAGAAGACAAAATTTCGATCAAGCTTTTCGTATTCTATGTGACACTGTTTGTTTTGAGTATATCTGGGAGAATATAGTTGTATAATAACACCTAGTTTTTTATTCATCCTTTATATTTATTGTCTGCTACTGGAGCTTTCATTTGTTGGGGTTCAGATGAACCGTTCAATTTGGATTGCTCCTGGAACTAAACTGAGAAATGATGCTATGTTAAATGTTTTCTAAGCTCCCCATGATTTCGATTGGGTTCCCTTTGTAGATTTGATCATATAAACTGATTTGTCTCCTGAAAATTGCTAACTAAACTGAGAAATGATGCTGTGTTAAATGTTTTCTAAGCTCCCCATGATTTTGATTGCGTTCCCTTTGTAGATTTGATGATATAAACTGATTTTTCTCCGGAAAATTGCCATGCAGGTAGCTTAGACTTGTGTCTTTAAACCTAAGATTGTGGCTCAAATTAGGGGTCTTTGGTCTCTCCTGGCTTCGTCCTGCACACGAGTCATATGTATGTTGGAGAAATTGTGTGGTATTATGTTTTAGTGACATGGCGACAGGTTAATGTGTAGTAAGAAGGTGATGCATCAAGGTTAAGTGAGATTGGTAATTTGAGTGGAGTGATGATAGGACAGAGATTGGTATGTGAAGTGAGAAGCTTGTGTATGTGCTGACAGTGTTATGATGGGAATTGTGCTCTACTAAATTAGGGACATTCAATTCATGCTGTCTCCAGTTTCTCTCGTACAGTTGACACCTGCAAATTACGGGCATGTTTTTACTTTAAACTCAAAATAGAGGATTAAAATGAAAAGATTACCCCCATAAATTCAAGGCACACTCAAGGTAGGGGAGGAGTTTTTCATTTTGAAAAGCGATTAGACATGAAGGAAACTATTCTCTTCGAATCCTATCAGTTTGCCGAGGATTAGAATAAATGAGTTTTCTTCGTAAGTAATCTTCTGCCTCCAATAGTGTCATCCCTTTCACTTCAATCTTTTATACCCAATAGAGGAGTTTTCTTCTTAAGTAATCTTAACATAACCATATAAAATACTTTTGACCATTGACGTAAAAAATAAAAAAATACTTTTGACCATAGCAGCAGCCGTGTGAGAGAGCATTCGTTTGAAAAAACAATGAAACCCGAAATGACTTTCGAGTAAACAAAGTACCACTCCAAATTTCCAATTACGCCTCGTCCAATCCGACACAATACCATTTCGCTTTTACCAATTCCAATTTTCTCATAGACTATCCCAATTCCCATCCCCGCCCCACCCAACCATCGAAGCCCACCACCAATTCCAGTTTTCTTCTGACTATCTCCATTCCATTGAGAGATGTTTTTTCTTGTAATGACAATGAAATTATCTTGACATATTTTTAGAGTATGAAACCTCATCCTGGACAAATTTAGTCTTCGGAGCTTGTAAAGTTATTTATACAAAGGTTATGAATGATTTTTGTCCCATTTTTTTTAATTTTTATTTTGGGACCACCCAATGTTAAAATCCTAGATGCGCCATTGGTACACATAATAATATAAGTCAAGAGTTTTAGTTTTCCTGCACTTGTATTATGACATGTAATGGATTGAGCTCATATGTATTAGAAAATATTAATTTTGTGTCTAAATATTATAATTGCTTACTAATTCTTTCACGGAAGACTCTTTCTTGTAACTAAATAGCGTCACTCATCAATAAATGCAAGAGTAAACTAATTATACTGAACCACGCAACTTTGTGTGTTTTGCTTGTCTTGATAGAAAATATCTTGTTAAGCAGTTCGATAAGTGATTTGTGCGATCTTTGTTGGACTTTTCAGAACATGAAGAGTAACTTATAGCTTGCAAGGAATAATGGAGTAAATGAGAGAAACTTGTTAATGCTCCGAATTGGTAATCTTCCAAGTCAAGTCCAGACGTTTGGTTCTTGGCAATTGACTTGAAAGAAATAAAGATTAAAAACTGATCTTTCGCGAGTCGGTCTGATAAGTCGCCCCCCTAATTATCATTCATTATCTTCTCGATCTTCCCATCCAACTCCAAGCCAACAAACAAACAAGTGGATTTCCTTAATATGTTATCTCTTAACCTAAACAAAAACAAAGATAAAACCACCACCACTGATTTGTCTCTCTCTCTCTCTCTCTCTCTCTCTCTCTCTCACTCTAACCAATTAAACGCTAAGACCCTCCACTCGAAACAGAGACACTCCCTTTCGAGAAATTTTTCAATGTACTGAGAATATAACTTGTTACACTAAATATCATAATACAAGTTGGTTTAATATTTTTATTCAAATATGAGATTTAAATTAAGTACTTAATTTAACAAAGTGGTGACTGGATGCCAAATCACCATTGGTGTCTTTGACAACAATTTAAATTTTAGGATATGTTTTTGTCTTTTGACTTTCACTTTTTGTGTTTGAAATGTGAGGAAAGTATACAAAGGAAAGAATGATGATGAGAGAAAGAAGGGAAAAATTATAAAGAATAAATGAAAACAAAATCTTGAAAGTAACATAACATATATAATTTTTTTTGTATTTAGTTTTGTGTCTTCCCTTCATCCATTTGTCATCCTTAATTTCTCTCACGTATTTGTTCCCTATAAGTAATTAAAAAAATTGAAAATAAAAAACAAAAGAACAAAATGGTTATCAAACGAACCTTTAAGAGCAATTCACCAGTTTTGTGTCATTGAAATGATAAAATCAATAGTTATGTGTACACGAGATAAATATGTGATGGTGAAATACACAAGGCTACGAGCAAAGCCTAGAAGATAAGGTGCAAAAGGCAAATCCTCTGGGTCCAGAAGTGTCTGGACTGAAGGGGACAGATAAACATATTTAACAAAAAGCTAACCTTTACCGCAATTAACAAGAACCTCCATATTCAAATTCAATCCGGAGATTAAATTTGATTAATAAAGGAAACTGAGGAGGAATTTGGAGTGTTTGATTCATCTCTCTTTACCTTAATTGGCTGCTTAATTAGTCGGTCTTTTTACCCATTGAAAAGTCTATGAAAGTGATGCACATGTAGAAAGATGAGGCATTGTTTTGTTTCATGATCCCAACCACACAAGTCTCTTTCTTTTATTGCAAGCTACTAACGTAGCCATTTAAAATACAACCTATTTTCCCCATTAATTATTGGGTTTAAATAGTCATCCCCTCCCGAGGTTGAGTAAACTCCAAAATTATGTGTTGCCGTTGTGCAGGATCTAACACAATTGGCATCCAATGCTATAGTTTATAATTGGAAACCCACAAAATGTTAAAATAAAATTTTGATTGGAATTCTTGGTTTGCAAGAAATGGTTTATTACTTCTTTTTTGTCTGTTTTTTATCATTGGTTTTCCAGTTTTGACCAAAACAGATTAAAATATTTGTTCCTATGATGTCTTATTAACTTCTATTTCGGAACCACCGGATCATGGTTTAGTTTTGAGTTAAGGAGGACCCAAACATATTCCCTCACACACTCCCTCCTATAAATTAGGGACTGGAATCTTTTTTTGCAAGATAACCAGATACTCCAGACAGACACACCACACCCATCAGAAGAGAGAGAGAGAGAGAGAGAGAGGTGGTCAGGAAAGAATCTAACCCTATTTTTTCTTCTTCACTGGATGAAAGCAAGTAGCAACAATAAGTGAATGAATTGTTTTGTTGGCTCACCCTTGTTTTCTCCCTTTTTTTTTATAAAAAATCTGGTTCTGCTGCTGACATGGACGTGAATGTTTTTCCAACGCTTGTGTGTGGGTGGACTTGGGAGGAGAACAAGTTGTTCGAGCTGGCTTTGGCAGTGGTTGACGAGGAAGACCCACAGCGCTGGGACGTAGTTGCATCCTTGGTCGGAGGGAAAAAGAGTGCAGAGGATGTCCAGAAACATTATGTCATTCTTTTGGAGGATTTGCAGGTCATAGAATCTGGTAAATTGGATCACAAACTCGGACAGCAGCCGCACCAGAATTATGTTCAAGTGGATCATTGTACTCACTCCGTGTGCTGGACTGACGAAACTAACAAGTATGTGAAATCTTTGTGGATTAAAGTCCTTGATTGCTGCAAAAAATGCTTTTATTTGCTTTTCATTCATTGGTTTTCACATGTAAATTGGACAGCTACTAGAACTCGTTCCTACCTTCCTGTCAGATAGCTAGTTTAGTCTTGATCATATTTATTCAGTTCCATGGGAGATTTTAGTTTTTTCTGATGTTTAGAAAATGTCGTGCAACAGTTTGCTTGTTCAGTTGGACTTGAATTAAATCTTTCCGGCAAATTGCTATCTGTCGAAGCTTTCTCGTTCAAGCGTGTACCCAAAATAGGATGAAGTGAAGCTGCTGGTCATGCAAAGTGTATCAGTTTGAAAGCTCTGTCAGCAGCTTGCAAAATATTCACCCTTCTCTTCTTGTAAAGCACAAGTTCAGTGAAATGCAAGTCAGATAGATCGACACTCCAGACCCCACATAGGCTACTATTTTCTGATTCATCTCATATAATTTATAATCACTCACTTAGTTTCTAGCTACTTAAAAATATATTTACAAATGATCTGCATCTTTACACAGTGGTATAATTTCATACCAATGATCGATCCATCTACTTCGTCTTTGATGAGATTTCTGCTATGCAAAGATGTCTGGGAACACAGCTCATTGTAGGAAATTGTATATGACATTTACTTATTTATTTGTTTGCTTTTGTTTTGCGATCTGCTCTGTTTAAGATACATTTTCCTTTGTGAACAAGATTGCGCCATAAATGACAAGAACATTACGAAAAGAAACTATATTTGAATATTGGGACAACTGAAACAGAATTCACAATCAACCGAAAAGATAGAGACAATCATTTTATTCAGAAACCATAATTTTGCTGTTTCTTGGGGCCTAAGCCTTGTTGTATTGCAGTGCCTATGAAACGCATTCTCAACCTTCAAACTTGTGCCGAGCAGAAAAGGTAACGAAGCCTGCAAACAGTCACTTGCATATAGGCATATATGGCATTGATTCACATAGCAATGAATTCAAAGTATATGAGTAGCTGATGACGAACGGGCAGTGAGCATCTGCCGATGAATGACAAATACCTAACAACGCAGTTAATGAGAGGGCCGTAAAGTTTGTTTAGGGTAATGATCCATTTTCAGACACGTAATATGTTATGTTTCGGATAGTGAATCTACATTTAACCTCAATGATAAGGAATAAGTTAAAGAGGATGAGAAAAAGGAAGGAGAGGGAGGTAAAGCCAGGGAAGAGGCAGTGCATGAGTAGAGTCACAAGAGCTCTATTTTGCTCTTGAGAACTCCATCCATGCTCTACCTCTTCCCTGTCTTATTAACTCTCATTCCACGTTACCCAAATACCTGAGTAAATTTGTAGTCTAACCAACATGTAATAATATATATACTTACACCTCTTGGTTGGCGTTTGAGACTGATATTTGCCTCATCTCCATCTGCTTCTTTCCAACTTGTGTGTGGGTATAATATTTGTCCCTTACTGGTGTTTGTATATAAACCACATATAGATATACAGTACACAACACACATGTACTACCAAAACCCAGTTCAATCACCAGCATTACCTACCATGTACTACTAAGTATACGTACTAGTTGTAGCATTACAGTAGTACGTGCCTCTTTCTTCTGTCCTATCCTATGTACTACTAAGTATTAACTAACTGGATTAATTATTACAAAAAAGAAACAATGTGAAAGAGCTTTTCAAAAGATGAACGAATGAGGTACAAGCGACCACATGTACTACACTCCCTTCTTGTACTCGCAACCCCATCATCACTAATGCCACTCTTAATAAATTATTACAAAAAAGAGACAAAATTAGTAAAATCACGTTTAGAGTAGTTCATTATTCACTTTGTTAATTTCTTTTGGGTTTTTTTTTTTTTAAATTGATACCATTTTGTTTTTTTTTTTTTTTTTTTGTTTCACTTTTTAAAAAATTGAAAAACTTAAATATTGTTTGGTTACTACTTTCAGTTTTCAGTTTTTAAAAAATAAAAATAAAAACTAAAATCTACTTCCTTGAGTTTTCAAATTTTGGCCTCGAGTTTTTATTTTTTTGATTTTCAGTTAGACAAATTCGTGGATAGAACAAAAAATCAAGAGCCTCGAGCCAATGAAGACTGAAAAATTACCCAACAAGATTTCAATGTTTGGTTATTATAAAAATAAAAAAATAAAACAAAACAAAAAAAAAGAAATATAAAATGGTATCAAACCGCCCTAAAATTGTTGTTGGAAGTACTCTTCAAAACCACAAATTAGTAGTACCTAATGTGTAATTTCAATGATGGAAGGGGCCCACAACAATTGACAAATATGGTTGCATTGCATGTGACGATTGAGCTACCTTCATCACCAAACTCATCTAAACCCCACCGCCACGCCAGGTTGATGTTTGGCTTGCCTGTTTATCTGCAGAAGCCTCTTGTTTTTTCACTGTTTGTTTTTAACTAAAATTGTCGGGCTGATTTTTTTGGTAATGCAAGATTTTGTTGCCTACAGATCAAACTTCAAGAGATAAACATTACGTAACCGATTGACATTTTGGCAAAACTGTCATAAAAGGTTAGGAATAGCTTCTTTAAAATCTCAATAAACATCTTGAGTGTGTAAAAGTAAAACTTTGTTTCCAAAGGATGACCAGACACTTGAGCCAATTTCTGAATTTCTTCTCCTTCACCAGACACTTGACTAAGACGTCCAACAACACGAACAATGTAAACCAACTCCGTGATTCCTCCAAACCCAAGACAAATTCTATAATCTCTACAAAACAAACTCAATAAACCAAAAACTCTTACACATCATTCAGAATCAGAATCTGGATCCACAATATCAGGAAATGAATCCGCATCCGAATCATTACCCAGTTCATATGCAATTCCCTTGCCCTTCTCAGGATTTGAAGCAGACGCCGAATTACTCTCTCTGCCAAGAAACCCATCACCTTTAGCCACCACCACATCATGGCTTGTAACCGTAGTGCTACCTGCTTGATCTGATGGACCGTTTCCCAGCGAAACCCTCCCAAAGACTTCTTCAGCAACTGTAGTTCGAGACACTGAGGCACCTTTTGAAGACAGATCATTCTCAAGTTGCATTGCGGATTCTTGAAATTGGCAGGATTCAACCATATTTTCAGTCCCATTGACTCTCATCTCCACATCCTCAATGGGTACTTCCAGTTCCCGTGCACTTCCTCCTAGAATCTCTTTACCAAATGAACCATCTACAGCAAGTTTTTTATCCCGATGAATTGTTAGAGCTTTGGATGGCTCTCCAGCCTGCATAGTCTTGTCTAGGTCACTCCTCGGTGCTTCCATTTCTTTCCCAGTTGCAAGCCAGCTATTATATAGGTCGTCACAATCTGAATCAGAAGCATCATACACCATTCCCTGTAAGTCACTTGAAAAAGGTGTTCGGTGCTTTACACTACTAGAGTACATGTTTTCTGGGAGCTTGTGGCTAACTCCATCAGAGAAACCTGCCAGTGGGAGTGCCCTGGGATGTATAAGGACCTCTAAGTTCAAAAGAGCATGAGCACAAAATCCAGCAACTTTGGTTCCAGTTGCTTGCTTGCCTGCAGAAAACCACTTTCATGTGTTTACAATAACAGAGGAAATATACACAAGAAATACAAAATTCATCTATAGCCGTTTCACTCATGCATATTGCATAAAAATATATTATTCTAATTAAAGTAAAATTATTGAGATGGTTATTATCATTTCATTACATGTCTGTTTCTTTTTCGGAAAGATGTATCATGCTTGTCATTGAGTTTTTAATTTGTAGATTCAGACCGTAGTCAGTCTCTTACTCCGTCAGTAGTTTTCCCTTACGAGTAATTAAATGTTATTAAAGTGGTGCAATTCCTTCCTGGACGTCAGTAATTAGTTGTAATACATGTCTATTTGTTGTTGATACATCCATGAGATAATCAAAATGAAAAACGAGATTTCACTTATTTTTTAAGAAATTACCTCTATGGAAAAGATCAAGACCCTCAGCTAAATAAGGGGGGCGGACACAAGAAGAAAGTAATGATGCCAAAAGTGCACGTAGAGCAGCAAGCTGAAAATCACCCCGAATATCAACAGGTTCATTCAGCTGGTAAATGTTTTTGTTATTACCAGCCTGTCCCCCTTTCATAGAATTTGTAGCTATGTTCATCAGAAGAAGATCAACATCAGATCGCCATCCTTCAGATTTCAATGCACCACCCTGAGCAAAAGAAATAGAACCTCTCACTCATTAGTAGACCTTTGAGATCAGAAAGAATGATCCACAAGCATTTTAAGTTTTACGTACACAAGTAGATCGGGAACACATGAATAAAGACATCACCAAAGAAAAAAAAATGAACTCAACAAAATCAGCAAGGTGGGGGGATGATTATATAGTTGCTAAAATTAAGATTTGAAGACTCCATTTTGAAATCTAGGATCCAACAGTCAAGCATCACTAGTCTTCTACTTGTGCAAGAGGGACTTCACTATTTTATGTTTACATTAACTATTTACCGAAACCGGATCCAAGACCTTGGATTGACATATATATCATACACAAAGATGCATTGAATCAACATTCTATTCAAGGACATACGGAGTACACTCTCTCCACAAAAGGGAAAAGGAAGGAAAAAAAGGCATGGACTACACATACCACAGTGACAAGAGCTTCTAACGCCTCAAGTGCAGCGATTCTCACAGGAATAGGAGATATCGTATGGTTCTTGGGTTTCCCCTCTTCCAAACTACTAGTCTTACGCCACTCAAGAGATCCGCTTGAAGCTCCATGCTTCCTCTTTCTATGGCTAGATTGCGGTGTTTGAAGCAATTCTTCAGTAGAAGGCTTTGATGAGATTCCACTAGAAGGTGCACCACCACTCTCATTCACAATGGGACTCAGATCAATCAATGCGTTGTTAGCAACTTCCCGTGCCAGGCTTACTGTCATCCCTGATAAGCATAAAGTTCCCAATTAACAAAACCAAAAAATGATTTCCAGAAGAAAGGCACTAAATGGCAACCAAAATAAAGGGTATTGGGAGAAAGCTTTATGCAGATTTCCTAAACACTAGCTATCTTAAACAAATGAGGATCATGGACTGAAGCATCACAAGACCATGGCAATATATCAGAAGTACAGAACACAGTTGAAGGGTGGTTACTTACTGAATTTGACTTTTCAATGCAAATTCAGGATGGAAGTAGCCATCTCTCCCACAAGATAGCAAGATCAATGCATATACTTTATTTCTAGGTTTTCTCAAAGGAATGGCTTTGTTTAGTAATAAGGCTAGACAGATTAGTTCCTTTCTAGAGGGATTAGGCTTTCTGTAGTGGTCAACATATCTTGCTCCATCCCTGTCTATGTAATATGACAGTATTTAACAGGCATGTTTCTATTCAGCAGGACAAAATCTAGAATAAATATATTTTCTGAAATTACTGCATACCAACACCCATGGATATCAGCAACATTCTTGTGATTAAGTAGACCTTTATCCTCAATTCTGGCAATGCACATCTCTTTAAATACACTGAAAGCAGATGCACTAAATAAGCAGCATGTGGTAAAAGTTGACTGCAAGGAAGACAACAAGATTATCAGAAAGTTAGCATTCTAACTACTCAAGAACTAGGAAACAAAGTAAAGAAGGAAATATCTTTAAGACATATAATAGCTGAGAGAAATAGAGCCTAAAAGAAACATCTCTAGCATTCCTAAGTTCAGAAGGACTTGGCATATTGAACTCGCATTGTAGTTGGGATATCAAGTAAGCATCCCCCCGAGTATCACAAGTTCAAGAATTAATGTTTCACCTATTACCCAAACGTTCTATTGAACAAAACTTTATGTTGTTCTAAGATATTCATTGACGAATGCCACTAGAGAGAATTTATTATATTTCAAGCTTTTATATCAATAAATTGTCAGCTCAAAGGAAAAACCATTTGTTCTCTCATTGTTTCCTTCCTTTTTTTTTTTCTTTTTGGTTTTTTTTTTTTTTTTTTTTTTTTTTTTTTTTTTTGGGGGGGGGGGTGGGTTGTTGGGGGGAGGGGGGGGGTGTTTAGAGTTGGGTTTTGCAATTAGACAGAAAATGAGAGTTAGATTATCCACACGCACAATATTGGGCAAAAGCCAACAATAGCAGGTCCCTGTTAACAAAATTTCCAGGTAAGTATTCAACTATGTCGAAGTTAAAACCCATACCAAAAAATAACAATTAAATGGGCAACCTTCAAATTATATCAGTAAGACACATCTGGTGAATAATGGAGGAAGACATTCTAGATTTACCTGCGCACACCCTCTATAATAGCAGTGAGGAATTCTAAACCATACAGGTGCAGAAGTGGTAGTTCCGAACAAATGAACTCTTGCTGTGTGGCAGTCATAAAGGGAAGCAGAGATTGTGGCAGGGAACCATCCACAATCAGCACTCTCTCAATAAGGGCAAATAAGGACCGAATAGGAACAGTCACCTATTAGCACAAATACATTAGATACTTGTGGACTACCAAAATTCATTTACATTGTGCATAAAACATGGAAAGATAAGTGGAACCTACGGAAAATATTATAGTGACATTCAGTTATCTGTTTTTCTTTTTTCCTCTTTTTCATAGAAACCCACCTGAACAGGGTACGAAGTTGTTATCATTGTAGAGCAGCAAACCATCAGTGCAGAGATACTGGACATTGTCAAACGCTGAGAACTCTTTCTTCCCTTCGTTGAATCTTTTCCTGACACTTTACTTCCTCCCAACCGAGGAGGGGGTTCTTTCCCTGGGGGAACCAAAA